GCCGACCCCCCCATGCTTCCTCTCGCAGACAAATGTGTCACCAGCGAGCTCCTTAAGGGGATCCCTCTGGCCACTGGCGACACCAGCCCAGAGCCCGAGCTGCTGCCAGGAGGTGAGTGGTGACTTCCACCCTGTCCCGGCCCCCAGCCCCATTCCCGCCTGGTCCCCATCACCGTTTTCCTTCTCTTCCAGCTCCACTGCCACCTCCTAAGGAGGTCATCAACGGAAACATAAAGACAGTGACCGAGTACAAGATCGATGAGGATGGCAAGAAGTTCAAAGTGGGCACTTGGATTGGAGGGGGCTGGGTGTGTTGGGAGGGCTGGTTCATGAAAAAGATCCTGTGGTCCCAGGAGCCTGACCCTTTCCCCTCCTGTCCACAGATTGTGCGAACTTTCAGGATCGAGACCCGGAAGGCTTCAAAGGCAGTGGCAAGGAGGAAGGTGAGACTCTTCTTTCCCTGGGCTGCCCCAGAGAAACTGGAAGTCCTCATTCCTAGGGGCTTAGCTTTCAGAAGTGGAGTTTAGCTGTTTGTACTCATTTTATTGCAGCAGAACAAAGACCTGGGGTGTTTGCACCCTCTGGGGGCCCTGTGACGTCCAGTCAGAGGAGTGGGTGGGTTAGAGCTTCCTCCTCCTGGCCTGTCACACCTGAAGGAACAGCCAAGCACTCCCCTGAGGTGGTCATAGTGGCTTTTGATTACCCAGAGCTGAACCCCTGTGTACCCAGGGCTGAACGTTTCTGGAAGAAGTGATATTGGGCAATATACTTAGCCCACATTTCTGTGCGCTTAGCCAAAGCCGTGCCAAGCCCCTGCAGGCGGTGTTTGCTCATTCCCTATCCACAGAAGCCCAGGAGGGGGACACTTGTGATCCCCATTTTGTTGGGGGGAGGAAGCTGAGACTCAGGTTGTTTAGCTCCAGGCCCTGTGGGTCTGGGTAGTCCTGCCAATCCCTGATCAACTTGATGGGGGCTGGTCCTCCAACCTGCTCAGGCCCCCCTAACCCAACCTCGGTTCTCTTGTCTGGAACTCTGGGTTCCTGCCTCCCAGACAGGGGCCCACAACACACACAAGAGATGGGAACTGTCACCGTTACTCTGCTGGGAGCTTTTGGGGAGGATGGAAATAGGGTTCAAGGCCCAGACCCTCTGGGGTAGCTGTTGTAGGTTCCCTAGTGTGGGACCCTCCTGCCCTTGCCCTGGCCATGACCTGTCTCCCATCCCTTGCTGAGCCCAGAACTGGAAGAAGTTTGGGAACTCAGAGTTTGACCCCCCGGGGCCCAACGTGGCCACCACCACGGTCAGTGACGATGTGTCCATGACATTTATCACCAGCAAAGAGGTGAGTGGGTAGCAACAGGGTGGGGTTGATGCCGTGGTGGCGGCAGGGTGCAGCAGGGTCAAGGTATGGCACTGCCCCTGAGTGCCCCTGCCTGCCCCGCCAGGACTTGAACTGCCAGGAGGAGGAGGACCCCATGAACAAGCTCAAGGGCCAGAAGATTGTGTCCTGCCGCATCTGCAAGGGCGACCACTGGACCACCCGCTGCCCCTATAAGGACACGCTGGGGCCCATGCAGAAGGAGCTGGCTGAGCAGCTGGGCCTGTCCACCGGCGAGAAGGAGAAGCTGCCGGGAGGTGCGGCTGCCCGGCAGTGCACTATGGGAAGGCTTTGGTCGGCACTTGCTGTCTGTGTGCAGGGACTGTCCCCACTATCCCTTTTGTGGCTGTCCTTTCCCCCACAACAGCGTCGACACCACTAAGCTGTGCAAGTCCGAGTTTTGTGTGCTGAGTTTCCTGGGGCAGCACCTTGTGTGCACGTCAGCGTGTGGCCATGCCGTCTGCGTGTGGCCATGCCTTGTACAGTTGGAAGACGGTCATCCTCTGCCTGTGTGCAGCTTGGTGGTTGTGATTTGGTTGGCGACTCTGTGACTGTCCTGATTTGTGCATGTGCTTCCTATCTGTCCTGGGTGTCTGTCCATCTCTGCAGCCCACATCTGTGACATCTGTAGCCTGTGTCCTTTCGCATGGTTTGCTGATGGCAAGTGTGAATCTGTACAGCTCTGCTGCTGTGACTTGCATTGGAGGTGTACCTGCCACCTGCCTGCGTGGGAGCCTGGGCACTGTCCCTCGCACGTGTCCTGTGCCTGCCGCCCTGTGAGCATGAGGCTGGTGTTCCTCCAGCTCTCAGCTTCCGGGCATGAGGCTGTGACCCTGGGCCCACGTCCGCCCCACACTTTCTCCCTTTGCCAGTGTTGCCAGCAGGGTGGCTGAGTGGTGTCAGCTTCATGGATGTGGCCTTGGTATCATCGTGGTCACTGAGACTTCAGCCCTGTGGCTTGGCAGGCGGTGCCTGTGCTTGGTCCTCCTGGGGCAGCTCTGTCTGTCTGCACCAGGGTGAGGCTGAGTGCGACCTGCTTTGTCCCCAGAGCTGGAGCCCGTTCAGGCCGCCCAGAACAAGACAGGGAAGTACGTGCCTCCAAGCCTGCGAGATGGGGCCAGCCGCCGTGGGGAGTCCATGCAGCCCAATCGCAGAGGTGAGGGGCACCCTGTCATTGTCGCTGGGTCATGAGCATGGGGCCAGGGAGGACCTCTTCTCACAGCCACCTCGCCTTGCCTGCACAGCCGACGACAATGCTACCATCCGTGTCACCAATCTGTCCGAGGACACGCGTGAGACTGACCTGCAAGAGCTCTTCCGGCCCTTTGGCTCCATCTCCCGTATCTACCTGGCGAAGGACAAGACCACTGGCCAGTCCAAGGTAGGCAGGCGCCTCATCCGGCGGGGTGTGGGGAGGTCATTGGTTACCAGTCCTGGGTCGGGCTCCGATCCCTCCCTTTTCTCTCCCCTTTCCCCAGGGCTTTGCCTTCATCAGCTTCCACCGCCGTGAGGATGCTGCTCGCGCCATCGCAGGGGTGTCCGGCTGCGGCTCCGACCCCCTCATCCTCAACGTCGAGTGGGCCAAGTGAGACGCCGTCCTGTCCTCCCTCTCCCCATCGCTGAGGCCCTTCCCAGCCTCCTTCCCCTCCCCAGCCTTGTCCTGGCATTGCAGCTGACCCTTAGGCTGACTGTAGGGCCTGCACCAGTTAGCAGTCGCCAAGCCCGTTTTGAGGTGACAGTCCTTTATTGTCTTTTTCTGAAACCACGCAGAGGGGCAGGCAGGCACTGTGTGGCAGCTGCCATGTCCAGGTCCCTTCACCGGCCCACGGCAGGATCAGACCCTGCCGGCTGGCTCCATCTCCACTTGAGTGTTGGGTGTCTGGGTACCCGTGGGGTCTGAAGCCCTCCCTGCTATCCTTACCACCCTCTCTCCCTAGGCCGTCCACCAACTGAACCAGCTGCCGCCGCCCGGCCCCAGGACCCTCGGCGACAAGAGGTGGCCCCCCCAGGAGCCGGGACTCCGAGGGCAATAAATGTGCGAATTGCCCCACGTGTCCTGTTTATGCCGGCATAGCGCCACCCCCTGGCGGGTGGATAATGGCGACTGCCTGGGCCTGGCTGGCCGGGGCAGCTCAGCCTGTCGGTGCTCTGGGTCTGATTCTGCAGCGCCGTGGGCAGAGGCGCAGAAACACAGAGGTCACCGGCTCAGGCCTGGGGGCTGGCAGTGACATCGAGGCGCAGGACTCGGCTGGTGCACTTGGCGTCCTCCGGGTCTTGGGCGCCCCTGCAGCCGGGGCAGCGTCGGCGGCAGCAGCCCAGGCTGGGCGCCACCGCCATGTACAGCAGCGGGGGGATGCAGAAGGCCAGGGGTATGAGGCCCCGTGTCACCTGGTAGCCCAGGTAGGGCCCCAGCTCCAGGGCCTTCTCCGCCTGGGC